AGAGAGCTGCTACCGTGAGCACGAGGATTCGCAGAAGCCCCGTTAGTGAAGCAGTGAAGCTGGTAGAATTCCAGTTAGCCTTCCAGCTATCAAGGCGTCGGCGTTTGCGGTTTGCATGACTTTGAAGAACAGATGATTTTGCAGCATTCTATATTTGTGAATAGAAAGGACTTAGATTTGCGAGCTCTTAAGGCTAGCTTTTCCATTCCAAAATCTCGTGCCCCTGGGACGCTGAGGATACTGAGGTCACCCAAAGACATTTTCTGACATCCACCAGGTTGGATTTTTGTTCAGCGACAGTTGTTGCCAAATCACAAGAGATCTGTGGGCCAATTCTGAAGTCAAAGCCTTGGGTTGAAATATTGGCAATAAAGTGCATGGCACGTCCAGAAGTCGTGGGTCAAATACTGTCAACTTCTGTTCCGACTTTACCACGGGAAGCCTTCACACCTTTTGTTCAATTCACCACGGTGGCATGGTTCCCCGTTGGCTTTCTCTTGCAAGCGTGCAGCAAACCGATTGCAGCAGAGATTTCTGCGAGAAAGGCAACACAACACAAGCGATCATAGACGGTCATTATGGGACATTGAAACTTTCTGAGTCAGGGTGCTTCTTTCATTTAAGACCTTTGGTTGCGGGCAAGGCCATTGCACGAAGGCTTTTCGTCTCAGTCACAAGAGCCGAACCCTCTTGCTAGTGCACAACATCTGCAGATAGGTTTTTAGTTCAACACAACTCTACAGTTCTTGGCAGGACTTCTTTGAACTCCGAAACCACAGGCTTGCAACACTGGAATGAAGGGATGCAAACATGCGGCCCCTGAATGATTTGTCGATGATTGACTGCTCGTCTTCGGACTGGTTGGGCATATAGCAGCACTGCCAATGAACAAAGAACGGAGGCCGAACAACAAGTTCAACAAGAAAGCATTGTGCGGCATCCTGTGTACCTGCCATTTGTTTCGCCTTCGTTACTGCCAGCTAAGTGATACAACTAAGATGTGTTCGTGCGGGGTTGCCTAACAGTTGATCAGAATTCAGGTTGTGGGAATAACTAAAGGAGTGAGAAATGTTGCTTCCCTTTCGTGATTGTAGTGATTTTAGTGAGGTCTGAGTCTGAGCAGGAAATTTCAACAACTGAGCCATGAAGGTGGAAGTGCATTAGGAAACAGCAGGGCCCCCCACCCCTAAGAAGGTGATTGTGACTTCCAAGACAGGACCAAATCAGAGTGTTCGAAGTGCGCACAAATTGCATCCGTTGCAAGGTGAAACTCGGCGGCATTCTGTTGCCCTTCAGGCCATTGGAGGTTGGACTTCAAGATCTCCATTCTCACAAGCGGTGTGTTGACCCCTTGACAACGACTGATCCAAAGGCTGCCAACGTTTCCAGCTTAAGGAGAAACTTGGTAGACTTCTTGGAGAACGGCGCAGGTCCCAACAGGGTTTTTGACCAGTTGGAAATAGTTTTCGAAAGAAAACTTCAGTCCACTTGTGCAAGAACCTGGAAGATCGACAAGGGGTGGAATGAGGGACAGAAGTGTCACAGAAAAGAACGAACCGTGGTTGTTCCTAGGGTAATGGTCGGATGCTTCTTTGTTGGGGCTGGACCAGATGAGGTCCACCTTTGGGACTGGGATAGTATATTGACCCGGGCTGAAGAAAATAGCGTGTTCCTGTCAACTGTCTCTGAAGATTCATGCCTTTCGCTTGGCAAAGAAGCAGTGCACCTTGACTGTCTCGTGTGCAACAGTACAATTCCTACAAATGGTCCTTGCTAGCTTTGCAGCCAATTTCTGTTGGCGATTCGTGCAGAGTAAGGCTTCGATTCACGTGAACACCCATAGGCGTGAATTCCTGGAATGTAAGAGCAGCTTTATTTCCTTGCGCTGCGATGACAGTCAGATTTGTCCGCTACCGAAAGGTCTCACAATCAAACACATATGCCTGGCACTGGGAACTCTGTTAAGCAATCGGGATGGTTGATTTTTGCCACTTGCTTCATACATTTTAAGGTGGAAGCAGAGGAGAATAAATCAGATGAATGAGTGCCTAGCGGAACCGCAATATCAGAGGGTTCAATAGGGTCTGCTCTGCGGCGCTTGTCTCTAAAACTGGCACCCATTGTATTTGACAGCTAGCAGGTCGAGTGTTGAAATGCCACGCAACATGCACGAACTGTTACGAGGCACATGACAGAGACGGTGGCTATTTCGTTTTGTGGATCACTTGGATGGTCCCAATCTTATGTCGCCGAGAAAGATATGGGGAGTCAAGGCAGCGCCAGATGACCACCACGTGACAAGTTGATTCCTTCGAAGCATAGGCGCTTCATGTGTTCGTTTGTGTTTGATCGATGGAACGAGCGCTGCTTTGGGGTCGAACACCCACGGCCATGACCCAGGTTTGCACTTTTATGCATCTTGATTGTTCAAAGCAAGCATTCATGATTGAACATGATTGACTTGATTCCGGCTGCATTTTGTTTAGAATCTGATTTGGGCTGAACACAAGCTCATAGTGGAGGTAACAGCAGACTCTGGTCCACTTGGCATTCAGAGACTTGTTGTGCAACTACCTTCAAGCAGAGGTGACATGAACACCTGGGGGAGCTAGTACCTGGTATTTCCGCCCATGATGTCCAACACGCTACAAAATGCAAAATGTGCAACGTGTCAGGTTAGTGCTTGCAGGGCAAGGTGGTGACAAAAACTCCTTAACAAGCGACTGAGTAGGCAATGTTTTGCTAAACCTTTGGACATGGACACTTCTTGTTAAACCTAACGTGCACATTCAACTGGCATGTCGTAGAATTGGTCGGGCTAGTGCGCCAAGATAGGTTCCGAAAAACATTGGCCAGAACATGCGTAACAGCAGACCGTGTTGCTACCATCAAGCAGAGGATGCATTGACATGAACACCTGGGGGAGCTAGTACCTGGTATTTCCGCCCATGACGTCCAACACGCTACAAATTGCAAAATGTGCAACGTGTCAGGTTAGTGCTTGCAGGGCAAGGTGGTGACAAAATCTCCTTAACAAGTGACCGAGTAGGCAATGTTTCGCTGAACCTTTGGACACCTGACACTTCTTGTTTAACCTAACGTGCACATTCAACTGGCATGTCGTAGAATTGGTCGGGCTATTACGCCGAGTGTATCTCCGGCAAGATGGGTCCCGAAAAACATTGGCCAGAACCAAGAACCTCCCATTTTTCCGACTGAATTGGTTGTGCACCGTGAGAATGTTCGAACATCAACTGCCTTGAGTGCCTCGAGCCCCAGCAACCGTGCTTGGCTTTGTCGTGCCCGAATTGGCAGGTTTCGAGGATCCGATATGGAAGTGTCAGCCGCTGCAAGCTAATACCATCGCCAGACGTCTACCATTCGGGACCCTGCGTACCGCAGATTTCTAATGACAACGGCCTTTGGATCATGACTCTTTGAGGACCCTGTGTGACAATGGCATTTTTACTTCACGAGTCCGACAGTTCACCATGTCCTGGATGAAATCCACAGGGCAGGGGTAGTTTATGTGATCCGTGATTTGTGAAGCCATAAAAGGCCAAGATCCCCAAAGCCCTTGAGAGGATCAGGCTGTGCCAGGCACAAGCTTTGAGAGTATCCGTTGTGATCAGCTAAAGAGTTGAGCCAGACCAAGGCTGCAAAGGCTGCCTGCGAGGTTGCATTTGGAGCTGCATAGCGTGACGCTTCGATGTTTTCATCCGATTTCCATTTGAAAGGAGTTTCGGAGCGTGGTAATAGTGTGATGCTCGGGCATTCGAATTTAGCTGGTTCATTCTGTTTGTGCGACATTGCGTTGCTTCACAAGCCTCACGAGTTGCACTCTATCCTGAGCTCGATGCAGGAAATTGACAGAGATGCCTTTTGGACGGGGCTTAAGAGCCAAAGAGGTCCCAAAGCCTCCTTCATATCTACAAGACGTACAAGAGACATTGTCCGACTGGGCGCTCCTCCAATGTTTATGATGCTTTGAGGGGCAGCACAGACACCGAGGTCAGAGCTGGATTGCATCATCAAGGAATGAAGAACGAGGGTATGGTTGCCATGCGAGCAATGCAACCTTGCATTCGACAATGAGTGTGAAAAGGAGACTGCTGCGATCATCATCGCTGACATGACATCAAATCTCCGACGTTCCAATTTTAAAAAAACAACAGGATGGAAATTTTGTAGGCGATGTACCCCTCTTCAAACTCACCAACAGTCTCACAAATATTTTTCAGTCTCAAAATGATTTAACCTAAACACACGTCCACATGCAAGAAATACCCTGCTGGCCCCTAGCCCTAGGAACAGTTGCTAGGGAAGGCTGACCTTTCCTGACCCTCAGATAGGCTTTCTCAATTTGGCTGGGTGACTCAGTTCGCCGTAAGCAATGCCCAGAAAGATGACACAGATATGGCAGATATGGATTGCAAGGCCATGCTTCTTTGTGACCATGCAATGCTTGGTCAACGCGTCTCCTTCGAAAAACATCACCAGAAAATGTTCACTAATTGAAACGTGGTCCTTTGGGGGCGCCCAGATTGGGCTCCACTGGCTCCTTCCTCAATGAAGGTTTTTTTCCAACTCGGTAAAATGACAATCCCCAGCCACGTCCGATTTTCCATGCAGCATCTGCCGCGAGGTTTGTTTTTCCTCTGCCAGCCAGCTTGTCAAGCATGTCGAAGGCTCTTTAATTTATCAAGCTGGTTTTGACACGGGCAGCTCTCTTTGATCACACAGTCGAAGGCATTGTTTCAAAAGATCATCTATCTTGCGAGCGAGAGAGAGAGAAAGAGAGAGAGAGAGCTGAATTAAATCTGCTGTAAGTGCTTGATAGTTTGATTTCAAAGCAATTCCTTCCTCACATTCGCAGCAGTCCAGCCCCGGATTCTACGAAGTGCAAGATGATCAGTCTCCTTGGAAATTTGCCCCTGACCAAACCAGGGCAAAGCCGGATGACAGGACGATGCCTTTGAAAAGGCCACAGCTTTCATTGGATGCACCGCCACGCCTTGAGCCAATCGGCAAAGGAACTTCCGATTCAAAAGGATTCGGCATTTGATGCAGGAGAGTTCAAATCGTTCAAATCCACCGCAGCATTCGCTCTGGATGTTGTAACTCTTCAGTGCTTTCAACTTTACACCAGTATCACAACAAGTGACCGTTTAGAGACAGGAACAGCACGGATACCTGAGCTGGTTTGGATTTTTGTTCGCACGTTGCAAAACTGTGACGTGCCTGCGAGATCAGGTGTTTCTTGTGGATGTGTTTGCAAGATGCCAAAGCTTTCCAAATTTCGCTTTGCACTGCCCGGAGCATTTTGCTTGAAGGCAAAGTGTCAAGAGAGTCAAGACCCTTCGCCTTCTCATTTAAGCATTGAACATTTCAAAGCAGGCTTCTTGTTGAATCTCCAAAGTGATCTTGTGAAGAGAGAAGCAGAAGAAGCCGTTGGACCTTCAATTTGGTGACTCTATCAAGAAAGCTTAACATGTCAAAGTGGCCAGTTCTGCTTCACACCCGTGTCCAAAGCCGATCAAGCCGTGGCAAGCATGTAGCTTTCGCTCAACAGAATGAAAATCTGACACCTGTGATTGGTAGGAAAATCGTCCAAAAGCCTAAAAGTGGAATGTATTGTGTGATTCTCATGAAGCCTTCATGGGTAGCACGCGAGTGGCTTGAAAACGAGTCCGGCGAAATTGATGCAGCTATGACCAGCACTTGTGGAGTTTATAGCCTGGAGTGCAGCCATTGCATTTTTTGGCCTGATTCGCGCCGCATGCAGACTTGCAGTATGTAGCAACGCCAGCGCGTCAGATCGGAAGAAGGAATCCAAGCTGCGTTGTCAGCACAAGCGTCACAGGCAGTGACTGGCACAGTGAACTGAAAAGCAAGGCATGCAGCATGTCTCAGTGCAGTGCTGTATGTGAAGATGACCTCCAGATGCACTTGGTTTGCCAGTTCTCCATGCTTTATTCTACAAGAGGGAAACTCATTTGGCAGTCGGGGCCGGACGTTTTCTTTGAAGTTTGCTTGAGGCCTGCCGCACTTAAAAAAAGTGCTCATGTTTATGAGTGTCCCTCCAGGGCTGGAAGTTTTTTTTGTTGACCTGGTTTTAAAAGGCACTAAGATCCGGAGCAAGAGTACCTTGCGGCCCTTAGCAATGCAAAGGTTTCAATCTCAACATCCACACCAAGCCCTTCACATGACGCGTTAAAGCTTTATTTTCAAAAGGTTGGCCGCATGCAGCTTGGAGAAGGCTTTGCACCTGAATTCCGCACGCCCGATGCCGACACTGCATGCTTGGAGCCTTATCTTGCTTCCTCTTCGAAGGTGAATCGATTTGAGTTTAACCTGCGGATCCATAGTAGGGGGCTTGTGTCCATGCAACTGTGCAAAGTTGCAACAAGTTTGCCCATACTTTCCTAAAAAGTGTGCTGCATGGCTGATATGAGCATCAGGTCAAGACATGTGGAACTCGCATTTTCCAGATTGACTTGTCAGAGGTTTTGCGGCAAATTCTTGTGGGTGCTAGAATGCACTGATGAGCTTTGGATTGGTGATGACGTTTCTTGTTGCTCCTCTATGTTCATGCCAGACGTCACCTTGACATAGTCGGTCTTGCTGGCCAACATTGCAAGTGTTCGGCCTTTGCCAAATGCATTGCGCTTAATCCTCGCACTCCGAAAAGAACGTGTCAGAATTCTGTGTTGTCTCACCCCCGCATCATGTGGGAAGGAGGCTCTTTCTGGAAGGGAAGCTATGCAGAGACTTTCTGGCCTGCTTTGTCCAGGGCATTGGATTACCTGACAGGCGAGGAATGGCAAATGTGTCAGGCCCGTGGAGGACCTATGCGACCTGAGAAGTTTGCAGTCCTGCACACGCCCGTCCTTTGCAGGAAAGGTCGCCCCCCGGAACGGTGCCCAACGGATTTCAAGAATTCGGATCACTTTTTGGACGACATTGCTTGTTTTTGTCCTCGAACCAGATGCATTCTCAAGAGTGCAGAATTGCGATCGGCATTCGTGCCACACGGTATTGCAGTACGGATGTGCCGTCAGGATGCCAAGTTGGTACTCCAGATGTGGGTCAGAAGGCAAATTCTGTTGCAGGTGTTGTTGACACGCACTTCATTTAGGCATTCGTTCCCTCGTTGCGAATGTAGCCAAACGGTGCGATGTTTTTAACACTGAACCTCTCACAAAGTAACAGGCTCATGGTTTGTGCAAGAGGTGCAGAGTGTGATGCACTTGACTTGCTTGTGGACCATGCATGTGCAAGCTCGGTGAGAGTAAGCCCACTAATTTCACCTCACCAGCAGGTATTTGGGGAGGCATGTCCGAGCACAAATCTGCAACTAGAACAGTGGGGGCATTCCAAAGCAACTGCTTTCCGCATTTCAAGATTGAGGGGTTCCAACTTGGTTCCAACTTCCAACCAATGTTTGCATTGCTCAAGACCTGAGATGACTCCTTTGTCAGTTCAAGGCACAACTTTTAGTTGCAATTCCCGCACTATCAGCCCACAACTGTCCATAGGTGTAGGGGCGAGGAAGAAGGGGGAATGCTTCTCTTGAAGGGCTGAGCCCTGTTGCTGTGGCCTGCTGATAGATATAGCAATTGCCTCCCACGGATTCGGGAGAGTTTCCCAGAAGGTTCCTTCAGGAGCATTCGAAAATCAAAAAGTCATGCCGACAAACCAAGATTCAAAACCAGTTGCATTTCCTGTTTGACAGGCCAGAAAGCATAAGATGATGGCGAAACCTTTTTCACCTATTCCAAGACAGTTGATAGAAAACAGCCGATGCAGTTGTTGTCTTGATTTCTCGAAACAGCGTGCGCAAGCACGGCTTGTGAGCAGCTCAAAGCTATCTGTCCAGAGGTCCAGCATCAATAAGAATGTTGTCCCAAACAAGATGAGATTGATCAAACACAGTCAATTTCAGCTACAACGAGGGAGGCGGTTTGCCTCGCTGAAGAGGTTTGCGCAGAGAGGCACAGTAAACATCTCATGCTTGCAGCAATGACAGGTTTCAACATCTGACTCCGAAAGCCTCTTTTTTGCAAGCCTGAAACCTATGGAAATGGAGCGACCAAAGCGCTTACAAGATCTACTCCCAAGATCTTCCGAGCCCGCACAGCTCATTCTTGCCGGGAAGTGAGGCCTGCATTGTGACAGATGCCTTGCCGGACATTGCTCTTATGGTTTGCAGCACCACTGCACAGAACTGCTTCTCTCTAGCTGCCAAAGTGATGGACCACATAAAGTGTACGATAGCTTCAGAAAGCAAATCTCCAAGTGCCCATTGAGAGCAGCTCAGCTTGATCATTTTGTTTGGGGAAGACAGAATCTTGCCGTGTGTGTTTGCATGAAGCAAAGAAGACAATTGCTGCAGTGAGAGCCCTTTGAATACTGAATTAGGCAATGATCATGCAAACAGCATTACAGGCAGAAATTTCAATGCACCGAGTGCACTGGACGTGCTTTGCAAGCTACGAAGGGTAGGCTCAGATGCCATGAGGACAAGCCTAAGCTCTGAAGCATGCTAAGGCAAAGTCCGAGTCAAGTGCTAACAGATGTTGCGATGTGTCAAGGAGTATGTAGCTCAACAAACTCAATTTCCAGCGCGGCTTGCAAGGTTTGGCAGCCACTTTCGTTTGGCGACCTGCTCCAGAAGAAGCAAAGGACCAAATGACACAGCGCATCCTCGCGCAGAACGCACAGAGTCCTAGAGTCTGAAGGATGACCAAGTGCTTCAGTTGGCAGTTCACCGCGCGAAAGCTCACTTCAGCATAATCATAAGGTCAAGACAGGTAAAGAGGAACCAATTCATCTCAGCTGTCCAAACCTTTAAGACCTGAAGCAGCTGCAAGATGACAGAGATGCATTGTCAATGGTACAAGACATGGCCTTGTTGGAACGTCCAGAGCAACGACTCAACTGGGCTTTCTCTGCACCTAGACATAGCCCAAAACGGCAGAAACCCTTGGGAAACTGTGAAACTCGATGATTTCAAGCTTAACAAAAGGGCAGCAGTTTCTGCTTGGAAAAAAGGTGGGTGTGTCCTATATGGAAGTGAATAAGACATGAAACACAAGAGAAATTCAACACCCAGGTGCAGTTGATGCACATGGGCATATGCCAATTCCTAGTTGCAAATCCTGGTGTTCACACACCTTCCAAGAGTGTAGTAAAGTAGACACTTCGTAGTTGTCGCAGCTCATGCACCTTCCGGATTTGTATTCCATCCGTTGATACTGTCAGAACACACCACACTGCGCCAGATTTAAACAAATGGTCCCTGTGTCGCTCCATTTCCAGCAAGTCCCGGATAGGTCAAGCTGCAACTAGGACCACCTTAATCCTTGAGATCAAAGTCTGTCCCACTAGCTAAAGACTGAAACACCAAGCACTTTTTCAAACGTTATAGGATTTGGAAGGGGAAATCACCCGTGCTGCACAGTAAAGGACCTGTGCAAACAGAAGTGCCAGTTGCCAGATGATGCAGACCTTCATGCAAACTGCAATTCCCAGAGACCTCGCGGTGATGTCACCAATCCATCAAGCTGTGCAATTCTCATCCCGATGTCACCATGGTACCATTGTGGAACGAATGCCCACCATTTAGGATTCAACATATGTTTCAGCCATCCCAAACAAAATACGTTGAACATTTCGAGAAGAATTACTTTATTCGCTGCTGCACTTGGTTTTGAAAGTATCAAGGCAGTGAATTGATTATTTTACCCCAACCACAGAAGCAGCATGCATTTCACAAGCTTCATTGAAAGCCGTGACTAAAAACTCTGATGCAGTGACTGCATTCCAGATGCCAAAGTTGCATCCAATTCCACATCGCAAAGCCGTCTCCTTTCAAATAAAGGGAGATAAAAACATGCTCGTTACAAAAACTCTCTTGGTGAGTTCGGTCGCCTTTTGTGGGTGCGCTGATACTCCCCATGTACTCTCTTGCTTTCCTAATTCTTGCTCAAATAAATTAGTTTGCGGATACGTCTGCTCTTCAAGATATTTTGTGGACGTCGTACTTCCGCGGGCTTGCGCTCGTCATTCATCCTCTCGCTTCAAGTGTTTCAAGATTGCGTGAACGACGGGAGGATAAACAGCGATCAGGTTCTATTCTACAGTCTTGAAAAGTTCATTTGCTTGCAACTGTGTTCGAGAGCAATGACATCGTCAAAGCACCTTGGCCAAGGGGAAAGATGTTTTGTTCTTTTACCCCTGAATAGCAACAGCTAGTAAAGGTTCTTTGTTGATCAATAGATAGAGAGTTCTTTGTGAAAGTTTTTACTGGAAGGCATTGGCTTTGCCTTGGGGACTGTTGAGCACTTTTTGGGGAGGGTGCTGACTGTTGACCGTTTAGCTGGAACTAGTAATGGCTTCACCAAATTCAGCATTGAAACTTGTGATTGTTTGTAAGATCCAACCCATAGTCGAGCACTCTAGCTTCCTCTTGGGAAGAGTTTTCTCAGTGGGATTTCTACAGGACTAGTAGGTTGTGGAAGCTCCCGTTGCGGCAGAGGTCAAGAATACCACAGAAATCTCCGGCGCCCGCGGCTTCCGTTAACACTGTGGCACCTGTACTAGTTTTCAGACAACTCTGCACATTTTTTTTTTTTTGATTATTTTTGTTGTTGTCCGTCTTCGAGTTAAGCTTGGTATGCTTGAACCAACCCTCCCAATGGTCCCCAAGAATAGGTGCTTGATAAGCCTTGAGCCTTACTAGTGGTTATCGGTGGTTTATAAACCTTGATCAAACGCCTGCTTTGGCTTTCACCTTGAGGGGGGGATGAACGTTCAATTTGCGACATTGCCCAAGGACCAAAGATGTAGTCTGAGCTATTGAACTGCACTTAATGAGACTGAACATGAAGCCTTGAAAGCAGTGTCAGTCAAAAACCTGACAATTCGATAGTGACGACCAATGTGCACCAACGAAAAAACGGCGCTGATAATATTCTGGGATGCTAGGATTCGTTAATATTATAACATACTAATATGAATTGGATGAATTGGGATAAATAGGAAAAGAAGGAAACATATATTTAATTGAAACATCAATTTATTAGATTAGATTAAAATTATACTTTTATTCCCCAACAGCGTAAGCTAATGGGGTCTTCAGCCCAGAATAGCTCCGGTGTGCGCTGGTGCAGGCGCCGGGTCAGGTTCAACGAGGTTCCGGAGAAGGTTCTGAAGGTTCCGGAGAAGGTCTGGGAGGCTTTGGTGCAGAGCCAGGTCAGGTTCAACAGGGTTCCAGAGAAGTCTTTGGTGCAGAGCCAGGTCAGGTTCAACAGGGTTCCGGAGAAGGTTTCGGAGAAGGTTCCGGAGAAGGTTCCGGAGAAGATTCCGGAGAAGGTTCCGGAGAAGGTCTGGGAGGCTTTGGTGCAGAGCCAGCACAAGTCCAAAAGGGTTCCGGAGAAGGTTCCGGAGAAGGTTCCGGAGAAGGTTCTGGAGAAGGTACCGGAGAAGGTTCCGGAGAAGGTTCCGGAGAAGATTCCGGAGAAGGTTCCAGGAAGCTTTGGTGCAAAGCCAAGTCAGGTTCAACGGGGTTCCGGAGAAGGTTCCGGAGAAGGTCTGGGAGGCTTTGGTGCAGAGCCAGGTCGGGTTCAACAGGGTTCCGGAAAAGGTTCTGGAGAAGGTTTGCATCAGGGTCGAAATTCCGGAGAAAATTCTGGAAAAAAAAATCCGGAAAAGGTTCCAAGAAATTTTTATATGATTTTTATATTTTTTGATATTATTTTCTTATTAAGAATCGTATTTTAAATTATATTTATTTTTATAATTATCAAATTTATAATTAAACAAATTATATTATTAAAATAAATTTATAATAAACATATAATTTTTATATAATATATTTATACTAAAATATTAATTTATAATTATATTATATTATATTATATATATTATTATTAAATATATATGTTAAATTTATATATTCTTTATATACGGATTTATTTTATTTTTGTTGTTTATTTTAATTGAACTAAATAAATAAACGGATTAGTGCCTTGGTATCGCCGACCTCCATTCGGAGG